AAAAGAAAGATTTGTACTAATAGTGTTTAGACAAGATATCATGTCTGCATCTTGTACTATGAATAACTACTACGAAGACAACAATATGCAATGTATTAATTATTGTAAAAGAATAATGTCCTACTAACCTGTTTTGAAAATGTCTCAATGCTATTACTTTCTCAATAAAATTAATTAAAAAAAAACAAAAAACAAAAAAAAAAAACAAAGGGATATGTAGGAAATTAAAAACACCATTAAAAGTTGGCTAAACCATTTGAATGAAAGTGAAAATAGACTTTCAGACCTTGAAGACAGCATTGCAGCTAGGGACAAAAAAAGGAAAAATCTCTTTAAAACAACAAAGATCCAGGAAATAATAATCCAAGAAGCGCAAGATGATGCAAAGATGAACAACATACAATTAATAGATATCAATGGGAATGAAGGAGCCAACACAAACAACATAGAAAGAATATGGGCAGAAGTAATAGCAGAAAACTTCCCAAACATGGGGAAACAATCTGACATTCAGATAACTGAGGCAAACAGAACTCCAAATAATATCAAAAATAATTACACTAAAATTAACAACCCAATTAGACTACACTCAGACATATAATACTCAAGATCCCAGAACTTCAGCACAAGAACATACTAACAGCTGCTAGAGGAAAAAAAGTAGATCACATTTAAAAGGAAACCTATCAGAATAACAACAGATTTCTCCTCACAAGCCATCAAGTCAAGAAAAACATGGAACAAAGTATTTCAAGTCCTACAAGAAAACAAATTCCAACCCAGACTGATACACCCTGCAAAACTCTCTTACTTTAACGGAGAAGTAAAATACTTCCATGACAAAGAAAAACTAAAGAAGGGGCTGGGGAGACAGCTCACTAGAATAAGCACTTGCCTGGCAAGCTCAAGGGCCTGAGTTCAATCCCTGGTTCTGAAAAAAAAAAAAAAAAAAAAACTAAAGACATTCATGACAACCAAACCAACCCTACACAGAGGTATCTAAATGACCATAATTCCAAGAACGACAATGGAAAGAACACACCAAACAGGGAAAACAATTAAACACAAGAGAAAAGTAGAGAACCAACAACAGGAAAAATAACATGACAAACGTAAGTCAATACATATCAATTAAAACCACCAGTGTAAATGGACTAAATTCACCAATTAAAAGAAATAGATTGGCAGAGTGGATCAAGAAACAAAATCCAACAATACGCTGTATACAAGAAACACATTTAACCCATAAAGAAATTCATAGGCTGAAAGCCAAAGGATAGAAAATAATACTATGCTCTTTGCTGCATCTCCCACAAGAATGAAGATCATTCTTAGTAATCAGACTGTTGACATTCTAGAAAATGTTGACATCACTCTGAGGATGCACAGTTATTGTGAAGGGCCCCAGAGGAACACTGTGGAGGACCTTCAGTGTGGAACTCAGTCTCCTTGGGAAGAAAAAGAAGAGGTTCCAGGTTTACCAATGGTGGGGAAACAGGAGTTGGCAACTGTCCGCATGATCTGTAGCCATGTATGGAACATGATCAAGGGGGTCACACTGGGCTTCCATTACAAGACAAGGTCTGTGTATGTTCACTTCCCCATCAACATTGTTATTCAGGAAAATGGGTCTCTTGTCAAAAACTAGAATTTTGAGGGCTGGCCAAATAGCTCAGCAGATTAAAGTGCCTGCAAGCAGGTGCAGGGGCCGGGGATTTGATCCGCTGGTCTGCCATGCCAGCCCCACCCCTGAGGCACACTGAGATGGCAACTGAGACTGGGCATGGTGGTGCACACCTGTAATCCCAGCTTTTCGGAGACTGTAAACAGTCTGTAAACCCATAGGCATATCACTACGAGTCTGCTCTAGTAGTAAGACCCTGAACACCCTGTAGGCCCTTCCCTAAAACACAATAATAATAATAATAATAATAATAATAATGAAATCCATAATTTCTTGGGTGAAAAAATTTCTTGGGTGTTGTTTAACTTTAGTTTGTATGAGGGAAGGTGTTGCTTGCTCAGTATCTCAGGCTCAGAAAGATGAGCTAATCCTTGAAGAAAATGACATTGAGGTTGTTTCAAATTTAATTGCTTTGATTCAGAAAGCCACAACAGGCAAAAACAAGGATACCAGAAAAATTTTAGATGGTATCTATGTTTCTAAAAAGGGAACAGTTCAACAGTCAGATGAATAAGATCCAAGAGTTAATCCAGCCACAGAAACAGGCTTCTGGATTGTAAAGCCAATCTGTGATATTTTAATGAGACAATAAAGGATTTTTATTGATTTGGGGGGAATAATACTACATGCTCCAAGACCTCAAAAAGAAAAAAAGCAGGGGTAGCTATCCTGTTCATAGACAATCTGAACTTCAAACTAAGAATGATCAAACAAGATAAAGAAGATCACTACATACTGGTTAAGGGAAAAATTAAAGAGGAGAAGATAACAGTCATAAATATGTATGCACAAAATATCGGCGTACCCAATTATATGAGATAGATTTTAATAGACATGAAAAATTTAATAACCAATATCACATTCTTAACAGGAGATCTTAACACCCTCTTATCTCAGAAAGATAAGTCAGGGCTGGCCAAATAGCTCAGCAGATTAAAGCACCTGCAAACAGGTGCAAGGGCCCAGGGTTTGATCCCCAGGCTTGCTATGCCGGTCCCACCACCAGGGCACATTGAGACTGGGCA